CATTTTTAACTTTTAGTGATTTAAAAATTTTCACACTTCCACCCTCGATCTTGTCGCATGTGTGTTAGTCGAATGCACACCAAAGGCATTTTTTTTTAATTTTCAAAAATTAAGTTTGATTTTCAAATATACCATAATACCAAATTTTCTCGGATCTGGAATTTTTTCTCCCACCCCTGCTCATGGATGTGCCAACTGGGGACAGGAATATATTTTCAAAATCAGAAAGAGCATTCGAAAAAACCTAGTCTAATCAGCTAATTCTAATCCTCTGTATTTGTTGTGGTTGTTGGGAAAAAACTGGAAAAGAAACGCCAATAGTACGAAACGTACTCTGGACCAGCGTTTCTCAACCTTTTTTGCCTGGCGATCCCAATTTTTGGAGTAAAAATTTTCGCGGTCCTCAACAGTACTGTAAAAGTGTAAACTGTAAAAGGAATGGTGGCAAAATAAATATTTTATGGGTATTTTATTTTTGTTTTCAATGTCACTAGAAGCTTAAAAACAACCAGAAAATCAAAATTAAAAAAAAAAATGTAAAAAAAAGTTATAGTCACTAGTGGCTGCCTTGATTCTGCTTCCTGCTGGATAGATACCAATTTATCAATTCGGGTTCGGATTTTGTTTTTTACTGCCATCCTTAATGACGATGAAACGTGCAGTTTGTTTCGATAGTTAGTTTTTATATTTGTCATGGTGGAAAATACAGCTACACATAAGTATGTGGTTGAAAAAGGAAGCAAAATTTTTAATGCCCTTTCAGACAATGTGTGTCCGATTTGCAAAATGAAAATAAGAAATTGTGTGCAAATTAGAACAAAAACATCGATATTGGGTTAAAGTACAGGATGGTTCAAATTGGTGCTCATCATTGAGATCTTCGTAACGGTGAGAGATACTGTATATGTTATATGGGGGTATATGTTATATGGGGGTAAAGTTGCCTCTTTTTGTGACTAAAAAAGCGCATTTGAAATTTTTGAAAAAATGCTAAATGGGGACAATGTTTCCTCTTTTTGAAAACGCTTTTGGTCTTTGAAAGTAACTGAGATATTATCAAAAAACCATTTCCCTAGCTTAAAGCTTAAACTGCTTGAAATGAACGGTTCTCATTAGCACTTTCTATGGGAACTTTTTAGCGCATTTTTGCAAAATTTATTTGTAAAAACGTATCTTTTAATCTGCGGTAAAAATTTTGTGGCGGGTTTTTAGCGAAATCCAAAGTGCGAATTGCGGGTGAACGGGCCGTCAGTCGGAAGCAGATACCGATAAAGGGAATGTGGTGTCCCTCCACAAGATCTTACTGATGGTGGAGTCGCAACTTCAAACGCGAATTGCGAGTGAACGGGACGTGGGAAGTGGGTGCCGACAAAGGGAACCATAAGATCTTACTGATGGTGGACTCAAAACTTCAAACACGAATGGTGGGTGAACGGGATGTCGGAAGTAGGTGTCGACAAAGGGAATATGGTAGCCCCCGACAAGATCTTACTGAGTAAACACTGCAAACGAGAATTGCGAGTAAACGGCAAGTCGGAAGTGGGTACCGACAAAGGGAATGTGGTGAGTACTGATCTGCCACACAAAAATGCGCTGAAGTCCCACACGAGGATTTTGATAATTTTTTCTAAGAATCTGAATTTGTTATCCATATTTCCATAACGCGCTAGATGTAGAAGTTACAGACTTTTTCTTATGGACGCCATATTGGATTTTTACGGAATGTGATAGAGGACAAAAAACGAAAAATAATTACTTGTCACGCTATACTTTTACAAGAAAAATTTCAAAATCAAATGTTTTACAATTATTTTTAAACAAAACATCCACTGGTAACTAGATCTTCCTGAATCAACATGGCGATGAATGCCGATGCACTTAAATGTTTTTTTTTGTTGTGTTCCATCATTTCGTAAAAATCCAATATGGCATTTATAGGAAATAAGAAAGTAGTGGCCATAGAAGGTTTCAACGGAAACCGTTCATTTCCGACCGTGTAACCTAGGGAAAATGAAGACTAAATCTGACATTTTGAGTTTTTCGGTGATAGTCTCAGATATTTTCAAATATTTTTCAAAAATTTTAAATGGGTTGTTTACCATCACTGTATCTCTCTCCGTTACGGAGATATCAATGGTGAGCCGAGTTCGAACCACCCTGTACATTCGATAACCATTATGTTGTGAAAATAACATCTAAAAAACGGATTATTTCCAGAAAAGTAATTCAAAAACAATTGTTCAATTACAAAATAACGTCATTCAAATCATAAATGGAATCCAATTTGAGTTACCAATGGACTTACTTTGTTGAATTATGCAAAACTGTACCTTAAGGATAGAAACCGTGGAGAATTTAGTAAAAACGTTGCTATTCATGTCAACAGGGCCGGTGTTAGCTCCCTGTGCGCCCACCTGTTATATGCGCTCTACAATGAGCAAAAGCAGATTAAGTAGTCTCGCAATGTTATCCATAGAAAACGAAACCTCTCTAGAGATCAATTATGTGATGTAGTAGACAAAATTTAGTGAAATAAAGGCACCTCGTCATTTGTATAGCTATAGGGTGTTCCAAATTAATTTTTAAAAATTTTTATGGGATACTTTAAGAAACTTTGGTACTATATCTTAAAAACTAAGCAGGCTATGGAAAATATAAAATACCCCCTTTCTAATTCTAAATTTTTACATAACGTTTGTTTTTTTATACTTTTTTGATAGTCCCCCAAATATCTATAAGTGAGTTATAAAGCAAAAACTTTTTGTTGCATTTTTGGGCTTTTGCGCTGCAAGTCATACGTCAAAATTGACATCGTTAATCTATGGAGCTTTGAAAAGTAACTACAAGAAGTGCAAACCGCAACACTCTATCTCTTTTAGTTCTCAAAATATCGCCAAAACCAACATCGAAAACAAGCAATTTAGTATACCCTGTACATACACATCATTGTACCTACCAAGTATGTACCAACCATGTATGAGGGCGCATGATGGATTTTTACATAATGAGATAGGGGACACAAAGAAATTCATTTGAATACATCCCCATCATAGTCGTGTTGAGTCAGCAAGTTCTAGTTACTCGTGGATTTTTCTGATTTTGAAATTTTCGTCAGTTAGAAAGATATGGGTAACCTTTGAACATTAAACTAAACTGATAAGACACTTAATTCATTAACACCTCAACAGATCCAAAGGGCAACTCATGGAAATGTCATAAAAAGGCGAGTAAAAAGGCTAGAAACATGTTTAAACCAAGAGGGAGGAATATTTGAACAGATTTTAAAACGTCAAATGTAGATATTCGCTACTTTTGTTACTTTTATTTGATATCTTTTAAATTGTTGAGTTTCTTCATTAAATTAAATTAAACCTTTATTTAACATGTCGTTTTTATTTTGAACGATTCTTCATTGTGTGGTTTTGTCTTCTCATATGACTCTTTTCATATCTATGGATTCAATCCGAAAATTAATTATAAAATTATTAAAAATAACAAAGTTGATGGCTACTTGCTGTATTTGCGGAAGTGGCGCCATATTGAAAATATTTTAGTTCAATTCATTATGTGCCAAAACCCTTAGGGTACTTATCAGTTTAGTTTCATTTTTAAAGATTCTCAAAATCTTTCTAACTGACTCTCGTTAAGAATGACTGTATAAAATGTTGTATGTAAAAGTATAGTGTGACACGTCATTATTTTTTGTTGTTGTCTTCTATCTCATTCCGTAAAAATCCAATATGGCGCTCATAAAAAAATAGGTTAAAAGTAGTAGCCTGTAGCTTTTACATCTATAGAAATTCTGATAACAGATTCAGATTCTCCAAAAAAAAAGTGCCCATAAAAGGTACTAACGAGAACCGTGCATTTCCGACCGTTTAAGCTAGGGAAAATGAAAACGAAATTTGTCATGTTGGGTTTTTTGGTATCTCAATTATTTTCAAATTTTTGAAAAATTTTAAATGTTTTTTAGCCACAAAAAGGTGCAACATTGCTCCCATTTAACCTACTTTGTATTTCATCGTTACGGAGGTGCCAATGGTGAGCTACGAATTTGAATCACCCTGTACAAATTGACTAAATTTAAAACAGAAAAGGAATACGTCTCGTGAAATGCCACAAATGCAATATTATTATACTCGTATTTCTTGCCGAGTTGTAAATTTTGTAAAGCTGTATCGGATGTCTCACGACCTGACGACGCTGTCGGATTGTTTATGTTAATTATTTATATGGAGCTTACATCTTACGATCTGCGGCCTTGCATGTCAATAACGAACATTCTATTTTGACGTTATTGATTAATCAACATACAAAAGTGCATGTGTAAAAAATTTTTGAATAAGATTAAAGGTACATTAGAACACAATGAGCACTTATTTTTAATATACCCTGTGGTGACTTGAAGAACGCACCATGGAAATTTCAATAGTAGGTAATTTTTAAATTTCCGATTATTGGTTTCCCTAATTATTTTAGAAATAGTCTATTTAGGTTTTTTGTAGAAAAAAAAATACTTATTGGTGTTTCCTATTTTATAAATTAAAAAATTAAAAACTGTCCCGTTTAGAAAGTCGGTAATGCCATGGAATTTTGAAATCAAACAAAAGCGCCTGCATTTCCATTAGTTTGACCTGTATTCAATGTCCTTCGGGAGAACGAAAAGAAACTGCCAAGGGTCACGTCACAAGGAGTTGAGCTTATATATACCGGGTGATCGAAAAGTAGTGCGGACAGTTTGAATTTCCCGGAGAACTAAACATTTATAAAGTTGGTAACATACCTAAATGTCACTTATGTTAAAAGCAGTGGTGGATCAATTTAATCACTAATGCATAAATAAAATACCTTCTAAACATGTTTGCCAATTCCTTAAGTAAAAACCATTAAAAACTTAAAGCGCCCAATTTAAAGTGTCTGCAGTTCTTTTTGATCACCCGATACTTGATGGCGTACTGCATTGGTTTACTTGGTTGCAGTCTTGCAAAGTAATTCCGAGTTAAAGAAATATATATTTTTCCCAAATGCTCCATATTTAGATACATGAAACGAAAGACATAAGAGTAAATGCAAGAACAAAACTGACATCTGGTATCTTACGAATGAAAAGTGTCAAAGCATTCGCCTACACACAATCCGGGTTGATCTGGGCACGCTGCACAGTGGTAGATCGTCATTTTTCTAACTTTATTTTGCGAGCAAACCCTACAGCGTTTCCTATTCGTTTCGCCATTCTTGTTCACCGATGGAATCTTCGATATGACGTGTCCTGGTTTGGGACTCGGTTTGAGAGGCTTTTGTTCCTCCGTGCTCAGTAGACTCTTGAGTACCGCTAACCTGAAATGGTAAAACTGCGCGTTTTGCTGCGAGTATTTTTTGTACAATGAGTAGGCGTTGATCAGCATAAGCTGGATGAAGTGGATTCCTAACTTTTTGTACCATTTCAGGGTTATTGTGCTGCATGGATAATGCGAGTCTATCAACTCCCAGTGGTCGTAGTCAGACATGTACTTGTTGTAGTAAAAAACTGGGGTGGCCTTTTGTCTTGTACGATTTCTTCGGTCGGTGAATTTGGTCGTTTGGTTCGGATGTTCGTTTGAAATGTACAAAATATCGTTCCACTTGCCCACCATGATACCATTGCAGTACGCGGCCACCTTTTCGCGCCTTTGTAGATTTTTCTTGACGACGTCTCTGGGATTGCCCTTCCTCAGCGTGTTCAACGGGCCAGTGCAGTGGGTTTTGCGACGGCCCAATTCTTCGGCCAGCGCGTATGAGTTGTAATATTTGTCTAGATAGACGGAATGGCCAACGTCTAAGTAGTTTTCGAGGAGCTTTAGTACGACTTTTATTGCGCGAGCTTTGCCTGCGTAACCGGGGTGCAAGAAGAGCTTCAGAATTACACCATGGGGTCCTGTCAACGTATGCAGGTAGATGCCGTATCTCAGGTGTTTGTCTCGGAAGTGACTGCGGAATATGAAACGTCCCGGCTGCAAAAACATCGGTTCGTCTAGTGACAATTCTTTATCGGGGTAGAAAGTGGCGGCCATCTTGTTATTAAAGAAGTCGATCATTGGACGTACTTTATGTAGTCTGTCCGTAGATGGTTCTTCTAACTTTTGGGAAAAACTTAAACAATCCATTAGTAGAAGAAACCGATCACGATCCATGTGTTGCGAAAAGCTTTTCAAATTAAATAGTCGGTTGTCCTTCCAATAGTCCCGAAGGCGATCGAGCTTGAGTGTGCCCGTGTGTAGAACTAAAGCGACAAATATCAACATTTCTTGCGGTGTGACCGGCTTCCATTCAGTAATTCGAGATTGTCCAGGTGATAAAAGCATCTCTTCGGCGTATTGATTTGTCGCGGTAACCATTAAATTCAAAATTTCATCGTCAAAAATCGCCCGAAAATAATCGATTGGCTCCCGATCGGCGGGAATTTCCAGCAGAAGTTGGCCGGATTTTAAAAAATCAAAAGCCTTCATCTCGCAGACTTCGCTTGACCAGTTTGGGGTGGCAGCTTTGGACGCGGTGGCATCATCTTCTTCCTGCTCGTCTGTAACGTGAAATTAGTAATTGATAAAAAAATAACAAGATGTTGGTACCTTCTTCGCTCTCTTCAAAATCCTCCTCACTAGTGTCCGAGATGGAGTCATTTGAGTCATCGTCATCTGAAAAGTTTTCATTTTCACTACAGAATTTTTCGGTAGTTTCCGATCCAGACGACTCCGACTGCGTTTCCCACTCCTCATCGGACAACGCTTCATCTTTAGGATTTTTGCTGTCGGGGGCACATTCCTCGTCACTTTTCATTTTATGTGAGCAAATTCCCGATGCTGATACCTCATCTGTTATTTCACTTTTAGGTTTTTTCATATCAGAGGCTCCCTCGCCGTCACTGCTCATCTTAAATGTAATAAACTGAACACTGGCGCAATACACAAACTACGTATTCGTTATCCCAACATTCGCTTTGTACTGGAGTGTGCTGTAAAATTGATGCGGCACGGATCCGTGCCATGCGCATTGAGACGAGCAGATGTCTGCAGCCTTCACGAACAAAAGCAGTGGTTCTATCTTTCAACATTCGACCAGCACTATCTTTGTTGTGTATCCGTAAAAGCCGTAAGCAGGTACAAAGGGAACAACCGGCTATTATGCAAGTTTTACCTGTCCGAAATTTATTATAAGATTCCTTTTATTTACCTTACCATCCACTTGAATGAATGCGTTTTACATAAACTCGTCTTCTAACCTTGGCACAGTTTATAATAACAAAGTAATTACGTTCTTATACTTCTTTCACGTGAGGGCAATAAACAAGGTATTGGATAGTTGTAATTTAACGTGTACGAGGTTTAATCCAAAAGTAACACAATTTCAATTGCGATGAACCAATACTAAAGCTTGCATCATCGCTTTGCTCTTCCGCTTAATAAAGGTACGTATCTACACCCGCGCATTTTTTTCGATTTCTTGTTTAGAATTCTGAAATTCCGCAATTTTTGTGTAACATACCCAAATTAATAGAAAAGAAAGAATGATCAATCCGGGATCAATGCACATTTCAACGATTTTTTCTATTACTTACCTATACCTCAAGCATCTGTACTTAAAAGCGCATTTTTATACGCATATTAATTAGTATCTTACCTCGGCCTATTTATTGCGGTAGCGCTTTTTGCTGCGTTCCCAAAAATTGACTAAGACAGTTTCTCCGTTGAAATTGGTAAATGAATAAAGATTTGGCTTTACTAATTTCACCAAAACCAAAAATGAAATATGACAGGACGAAGCAGTATGTTTTGCTAGATATCAGTGATCAGTGTCGAGATTTCGTCCCTCACGCGGATTGACAGACGGAAAGAAAATCGCCCGTAATAGCTCATTTTATTTCTTGAAAAATGCGCAAAAAATATGCCATAATGTACTTGAATCAGAATATTAGAAAATAAATACTTAGTAAACAAATTTCTTTGTTATAAGCACTTTTATTGTCGTAAATAGAGTGTTGCAGAAGCCTCTCCATTTACAATCTCAAAATACGTGGCGGTAGATACTGACAAATGCGATATTTATGCCAAATTACTGCTATTGGGCATCTAATAATTTTAACAAACTCAGTTTACGTCAATTTTCCCATTGTATCTCAGCTGTTTTTAAAGATAGAGATTTGCCTTTCTCGCGACCTTTTGCCACTTTTTTGTGATACTTTTAATACCACATTTAGAATCTATTTACGTTTGTTTGTGAAATACAAGGTAAAAACAAAAAAATTAATGTTGTCATATCTGATTACTTTATGTAACATAGGAAAAAGGTAAAAATTTTAAATATTTTTGCGTAGAATTCAGTGGCGTAGTCAAAAAATTTTTTACCCCACGCACGTTTGGCGCAATGCTGTTATTTTTTAAATACAACACCCTGTAGATCTTAATGTCCATAAACAGTAAAAAAATAAGGTTTTCATTAATTTTCATGGCTAACATTAAAAAAATATCGGTTGTAATACATCAATCTAATCAGGAAAGGAAACAAATTAACGATATAATATACAGCTTGTTGCTTTTAAAAAATTCCACCATTGGGCCTATTCTCAGAAACGGTGGAGCAAACATTTTTTTTTCTAAAATTGACAATGTATTTGATTTTCCCTTGTGTATTTTAAGCATGCCAACAAAAAATCATGTTAGGTCCCCGCCTTTAGTGAAGGAAAAATTTGATTTTACTAATTTAAGTTTGACCCAAAAAGCGCACATGAGGAGAATGTTGTTTACTATTTATTTTGTAATATTCCCAGTAATACATTATGGCACATTTTAATAAAATGCGCTATTTCGGCCGTTTTTCCGTCCGTGTGAGAGATATCTCGACACTGGAAAATGGAAAAGATCGCTTAAGAAAATTTAAAAACCATTTAAAATATTTCTAAAGAATTTCAGTTTATATTACAATATGAAGAATATTTTAATCGGTTCAACTTGTTTTTCTCTGAAATTTTCGTATGGAATGTGTAGTATCAGTGGGAATTTTGTTCTTTCGGCTAACCAGAGTTATAATTTGTTTAGGGGAGGTGCCATTTGAAATTGAAACAAATATGGTCAATCAAAAATTTTATTTGTTCGATAAAGTACCTAACAAAATTATGTGACAGTGCCTCCATTCAAAACTTAGCCGCCACCGGCGCGATTTAGTTTTTTTCAAAAAAACATTCAAAAAATTTTGAGGAAAAAAGGGAAATTTTTAAAGTATAACATGTTACATAAAAAATTAGTACTTTTCAAATACTTTCCAAATCTGCAATCTAATATTGGGTGTTCCATTAAAAAAAAACGTAAGTTTGATACGCCACTGGAATCCAGCACGCTCCTGGTGATAAAAAATATAGAAACATGGCAACAATATGTACAATTCGGCCCCAATACTGTCTTCGGTATCTTTTATGGTAAAGGAATTACGAGTTTTAGATGCTACACCCTGTCCAAAAGTCGTATAACAATTTTGACGAGCATTTTCGAAATCGAGACGAAAAGACGTTTTGCTTGCATGATGGTTATTGGTTGTCGCTTTACTATCATAAACAAATTCGTATGTGTTTATAAAATTTAAAAAATGCTAAAAAGCTCGTGCTTCAAGGCCCTCTTCTTCACTAGATTCCAAATAAGGCAATATAATTATGTGACTTCTATTCTCTCAAACTCCACCACAGTTGATGCACTTCGAGCAGTGTGGTTATGGGCAGGAGTTAGCCATGGAAATGGACATAATTTGTGTGATGGGTTTTTTTGGATCGCAAATGGTGGACGAAATGCTGCAATTGCGAGAAATCATCTTCCACCAACAACACCTAGGTGTTGTTGCTTCCACTCGGTTTTTACATTGAATAAAATTCGGTACATCGACCGACACTCAGAACTTGTTTTTTTATGTATTTTGTTTATAGTGTAAAACTATTTAATTTTTTCAAATCTATTGTTGCAAAAGAAAAGACCGCTTTTGAAATTGTTGTAATTCATAATGATGCGGAAAACATGTCTGGTCCTCGTATGACCTCGAGGTTATCTTCCGTAACAGTACAATGTAGCATTGTATTTATTCGTGTATTAATACAATGAATATAGGTACCTATTGCAAAATTAGTATGTTATCAGCCGCGGTCGCGAGTGAATACATGTGTCAGTGTCTGGTGGTTATTAAAAATTTCCCATCTATCGAATGTAGAGATTGTATAAGGTAAGATTTTTGAACTAGAATTGCACTTGTGTGTTTGATTTATTATTGTACACGCCCCATACTCTCGATTCAAGTAACTTTCCCTTTGAAAAAATCACGTTTTCTAGTACTCGAAATAACGCAAAATGTTTTCGCCATCAATTTTCAACTCGTTCCATTATGGGTAGGTATCAGAAACAATTTTAGTGATTGCAGTACATGCTTTTGATTATTCATCAACCATTATTTAAGTGAACGTGAATCACAATATGTTGCAAATTTACATTTTTAACATGCGATGAGCGGACTACCTGTAATATGCTAAAAATAAATATCGTTAGGGGTTGAAAGGCAATTCAAAAAAACATACGTATAACAATTGAGGCATTTGTTAACACAGGATTTGAGAGTTGGTTATGGTTTTCACGGAACAGGGTTTTCCAACCCTACTCGAAAAGCCGATTTATTAGGAAGCTGTAAATATTTTGGTATTATGTTCTTCATTGAAGAAAGGGAATTATCGTGTCTGTTAGAATGGAAGCGCGCTTCTTGTAAATCCTTTTCAAGCGATTAACGATTTCGTTCTCGTCAATTGAATGAGTATCATGAACGGTATTCCGCTAAAAGTTAACCACCCTAACTGTAAACTTCCTGCTAATGATCAAGGTCGTTGGATGATTCCAGTGGTAGTAGTTACATCATCGAAGCTCATCGAAACGTGATATACCTGTACAGGCGAATTCGATAGTGCATGATCACTCAAATGATGGCAGTCAGGCGTACCTTAATTTAATGCTCGTTGGATGTGGTTCACAATTCGCGAAATTCAAATGTACCGTTTGTACCGGCGCAATTTTTTTTGTGGATTATACAGAAATAGCAAGTTGTGAAAGACACAATCGAACCTCTATCTGCTTGGAGGTTAATTTCGCAAGTAATTCATGAATGATCTAGAAAAATAATCACGTTGCATTCGCTTACAAGTTTGTAAAGAAAAATTAAGTGGATGTGTGATTATTATCCTTGTGAATACAATGATCTCGATATGCATGAAAAGTTTTCATCGTATTAAACTGATGACCTTTAAATCTTCAATATTTGCTGTGAAATACGAGCATTTATGTTTTGCCATTTTGTGATTAATGATGCCTGGTCCCGTTCTCGGATCTTCAGTTTTATAGTCAGCCTCTAGTGTTTCCGACCCCCATCCTCCACTGACTTCCATTTCAGCTTTTAGTTAAGCGGCTTAGTTACCGAGTGCAGCTTCTGGTTTTCAGTTACAGATTTCTTGTCTACAGGAATCAGCTTGTTTTAAATCTTCAAGTCTCCAGAAAGACGGTTAAATTACCAACATTGTCTACTGAATCAAAATCTGCAATTAAAAAAACCAATCAGTATCGTATTTTTCAGTTAATAACAAAAATGTAACTTTTATATATGTAGGGTGTACATTATTATACCATATGCCAGCTTATTAAATTCTCTACAAAAGTTCTTAATGCATCATAGCCAAAATAGGTACTTCAAATAACTAAGTTTTTTGAATTATTTTCATGTCGATCTGGTTATCCATGAAGATTGGCAAAATCACCTTGCTTGTTGTAAAGTGAACCCCGAGGTAAATCCCCTATACTGAAGAAAATGGACACGTTTTTGAACATCCTCTTTAATATAGGTATATAAAAAGATATTTCAAAATAAATGACACATTATTATAGCCACTTTTTTTCCTCTGCAAGATGCTAGTTTTAAATTTTTAGTCTGACGTTTCGCCTCCGGTTAACCATCATCAACTTTGTTTTTTCTTATGGAAGTAATTTTTC